ACAAATGCGCTACAAGTTACACTACCGACCAAGCGCAAAACGGTGCCCTAGTAACGTAACTTGTAGCGCACTTATCCGTTGAGTGAGAGGTGCGGGTTCGAGTCTCACCTGGGGCAGAAGTTAGTTCATAACACAGTATTCTTGCCGAAAGCTTTTCAAGTCAAATGAATAATTGTTTCATGCAGAAAAACTGACCCTCCGTGAAGAGTCGCATCATGCTGTCGATCTTCGTGACCGTGCGTGAAGTTCGACTCCAGACATTGGCAATCCATCCATTCAGTTTTCTGAAGGCATAAACTCTCATCTCTGAAGCTTCCTCCATGTACTCCATGAAAAATTCAAATACGATAACACCTTTCGACCCTTGAAGGCATAACCCGCGATGAGAGTCTCGGAGCAATTCTTTCTGAGTGAGGTGGTCCAGCACCCAGGACAGATGTTGTAGCACTACCGCGACTCGTAAGGCCTGCCTAAGCCGCCGTTGCCACTTCCACTCGTTTCTCTGCGCCCTCTTGCACACATGCTCTCTCGCGTATTCCTCTCCAATCTCCGTTATGCCTCTCCGCCGCAGCATGGTCGAACTAGCAAGAAAAGGAGAGTTCTTGAATTCAGTGTTCAACTATTGTATTATTGATAAATAGGATTTTTGATGGTGCCTTTCGGAAAACCTCAAAAATCCCTATAATAATACTGCTATCAAAAGAAACCTTCGAATACCAAGCTCAGCAATGCAAGCTCTATGAGGATTCCTCGACCCTTTTTTCTCACCCTCATCCCCTCCGCTGGTCCCATAGCATGTAGTCCATTATTGTGCCAGAGAAGGTTTACGCTTTGCATAGAGGCTTGTTGAGCCATCGTTCATGATATTTTAACTATATATAGTATAGTTAAAGTAAGTGTAGTACTCGATCAAGTGACTTACGTGGCCCTGTTCTGTTTTACTTCTGCATCCCGCGTGACACGGAGAGAAGTACATTCGTCCAGTGCTTTGCTCACAAATCGGATTAAATTCCATCTGAAAAATAGTATTACTGAAAATTTCAATAGTTCAACTGAACAGAAAACTTTTCAATGGCATACATATTTTGTAAACTAAACATTAAAATTCATAAAATGCAGAATTCTAGTATTATACATATGGAGACCGCGCATATTTTACGTTTTGCGATACCGCGTGGGACTTCAGTGAAATTTTTCAGGAACCTTATCAAGGAAATTGAAAACGAATACCTACTGTATGCTGCAGAAGAAACCTTATCGAATGAAATGGAAAACAAAATAAAAGAAAAACTTTGTATATTTTTCCGAAATGTGGACTGAAAGGTCCTACGCGGTCGACAGACTGCAGCCCACATATGGGCTGCATGGGCTCCAAGGTGTTAATAATGCAGAATTTAGTATTATAAATACAGTACTCCATCTATGGAATACAGTACGGAATAACAAAAAACATATAGCAAATGGCCTCAAATTACATGTAATATTCAACCTAGAAACAGGTAATGTATCAAGAATGAGACGCCAGTCGTTGATGATTGAATTTGGCGCGAGGATGCGCCATGCCCTACTGCCATCATTCGACGTGTTGGAATCATTTACAAATAGGTGTGTTTGGCTTTGCAATGACATAGAGGCATCACAAATGTTGACGTTAGAAATATTAAATGCTTTTAAATGTGAATAAATAAATAAAATTTTATATTATAAATGTAAATAAATAAATAAATTCAAAAATTTATAAATATAAATGTACAACAATATCATTACTGTGTAGCTTGTGAATCGATTGTCTAGTTTTTCGTTGAATGAGTATTGTATTCTAATAATTGTTTCCTACGTTGCCTTATGTAAGCGTATCAATAAACAATAAACAACAAATAAACGATGGAATTTGATCAAATGCAGTTATCAATTTTCAACAGATTGGGTGGAAACAAAAAAAAAACCATTTTTAAATGTAACTGTTAACTACAACAGTGAAAGGAGGATTCCACGATAATGTCAAAGGTAGATGAAGAAAGGGAAACTCACCTTGTGAGAGTGTGATGTAATTCTTGTGGGGTGTGAGTCGCGGACAAGGAAACCCTTCGACCCTGTGAAGCTTGGGAAAGCTGGGACAGACTGCGGGCCTGGGCTCCGCTGGTGAACGCTTAGCGTGTTCCTTAAACACCTACCCGGGCTTAGGAAGCGCGATAACTCCGGGAAAACAGCATGATCCCCTAGTAGCACTCGTAGGATGGCGCAAGTCCGTAAAAGATCATGAAGCTGCGAACCACCGGTTAGCGTTGTTTTGGAGCGGTAGGAGGACTACAGCTTCGACCGACGACACAGTCCCCATTCTCGATTCATCGACCTTCCTCATGGTTTGCTTCCCCACCAACATTGGAACACCTTTACTTTATTCTTATGCGGCCACCCTGAGACTAACTTCCGCCTTTCTTGCTTTTGCCAAAAAAGCGCTTGCAATGACCCTTGGCAAATATGAAAAAACAGACAACTTGCAGTAGCAGTTTCTATACATGAATTTTGTACATGGGTTGCTCAACATTTGAATGGATTTCACTAACCAAAGGTATGTGCGAACGATATTAGGCTGAATTTGCGGTGCGGCACATTCACAAATGGACTCACAGATCATTCGTTAGCGAATTTTGTTTCCAACGAACTCCTTAGAGGGGCAATGAACCAGAAAGGACCTAGTGTTCGTTGATATTAAAGCTGTTATATGGCAGACAATTATCATTTTCAGCATTCCACCAACCTAAACAAACTTGTAAACTTGTTAATCTTAGTTTTTCGCAGGTAGTTTAGTAAAGCCAATCTCAGGTGATTGTTTTGGGACAGGTATTTTCACAGCTCTTGCCGTGGAGTCTATTCAATCTTTTGTTCTTTCCTGGCGCAATGCAAGTGGGACGGGCACACCGATTTTTAAATACGGTAAGCGCGAAATGTACCCTCCCTTCAAAAAACGAGAAAGCGTCGGGTGCAGACCATACACCACAAGTGACGACGGCCTTCACAAAATGTAAATGTTTCTGCCAATGAAATGATTAGCCTGTTGCAGTTGTATTCTATCGTTGTCACTAATTACAACTATCATTTACCAGAAAAACCGCTTTCACTATGAACACTACTAGCTGACAGGTACTTGGAGGCTGTCGTCGACTTAGTGTGGGTGCGTGATCTGGACCTGACGCTCTTCTTTGTTTTTTGAAAGGGAGGTATGACGATAGGGGGGTGCCCACTGCTGCGGAGTTCACGAGAAATAGAGGGAATTCTAATTTAGCGGGACGTTGAAGGGTGAGGGGCCAGCACCTGGAGCCGAAGAGATGGAATGTGTGAGTTGTTACAGTGGGAGCACCAGTTCCCTACGCACATACCTCTCTCCTTCAAAAAGCGAGAAAGTGTCGGGTGCAGACCATGCACCACAAGTGACGACGGCCTTCACAAAATGTTAATGTTTTCTGCCAATGAAATGATTAGCCTGTTGCAGTTGTATTCTATCGATTGTCACTAATTACAACTATCATTTACCAGAAATCAGCTATCACTATGAACAACTTCTAACCAGATTTACTTGGAGGCCGTCGTCAGTTGTGGTGTTTGGTCTGCACCCGACACTTTCTCGCTTTGAAGGGGAAGTTACATTCGCTTAAGTCCTCTCCCTTTTGGACACAGTGAGCACCCGAAAGCTTGTAACGTGCGATGCTCCTGCTGCAGTCACGTACAATGCGCGACGCCTTGACGCGCCGAAGCCTGTGCTCACCTCCCTCTTCTCTTAAAGAAATAAATTTGTTCCGATGGGGAAAGCAGGCACGAGTGTGCAAAGCTGCTCTTGTCTATAATCTCAGTTTTATTTCAGCTGAGTCCTTTAGAAGTTTGCTATGTCTCAGTTGGGGGGGGCCACGCGGCGGCGCGGCAGTCTGCTCGCCTGGCATGTTCGGAAATCCGTGGGCCAGGGGAAGATGTCCAGGGGGAGTGTAGCCAGTCTAGGGGGGTGGGGGTGGGGGCAGTCACTTGACATGCGTGAAAAGCTGGAATGTTCGAGTTTACACTGTCTCGCTCGAGAGAGCCCAGGTGAGCAGACTGCCGCGCCGCCGCGTGGCCCCCCCCCCAACTAAGTTAGCACCCCTTTTTAATCACGCGCGCTAGCGGGCCTTCACTCCCACGTCATTTTCCGTGAGTTTTTTATGTGTATAGTGTTTGTGCGGGATGAACACATGGACTGTTCTTCGGAATTATGTAACTCCGTTAGTAAATGGATAGAATTGAGTCTGGGAACCCGGGGAAAATGTAATTAAAATTGCTTATGCACCCCACAGTATCTTCCTGCACAATATCCCGCTTTGAGGAATACAGGGAATATCCATGGGGTTTCGTTCAGTAAGGAAGAGGGACGTGTGGTGCAACAAGTGCTGACGCTGTGTCACAAATCGTATAATGTATGCTATACGAAGTTATTACGGTGCGTGAACCATTTCGCTTCCACTTCCATAACGGTGGTGTACGGTTAGGTCACAGTGCGGCGACGCGCACATCTGTGACTTGTCGCGCGCTAGCGGCTGTGCGGTGAGGTCACCTCTTTCAATAACTTCCCTTGCCAGAAATGGAATATGTTTAGCGACATGAACTTGTCCCCGGCTTCCCCCTGCATCATGGTCGGATGAGACCGACCTTAACTTTTTTGGCTCTTGGGAGGAAGTTCTTACTGTACTGGAACTTGCGTATCACCATTCCGACCCACCATCACACCTGCCGCTGCAGCAAATATGACAACAGCTGAAACATTGTCATTAAACATCCATTCACTGCCTCCCAAACGAAAAGCATTGCTGAGAAACTTACGCAGGCCTGTGAGGCTATTTCGAGCACGAGCACTGGGCTCAATGCTACGGAGGCGTACGGTTAAGGTTCACAGCGCGGCAACGCCGCAACATTCTGCGATTTGTTCGGCGCGCGCAGCGATCTGTGCGGCGGCCGAACGAGCGACGCCCATAATATTCCCTCAACATCCTCATTCAGGCCAGTTAGTGCGTTCAAGTCTGCATCGGCACCTGCACGCGATGTTTCGGTGTGCCGTACGCGAAAAGGGTGGGAATTGCAGCGCGGTGACTTAATGACACAACCCCTCGCTTTTTCTCGCGTTTAGCCCGCGAAGTTGCAGAGTCCGCTTCCTTTTCAATCGTCGCCCTTTGTTCTATCTAGCGCAACTTCTGCTTGGTCATAACTTCCTTAGGTCATTCTTGAATGACGTCCCTACACCTCTTCTTTAAGGCTCCTCGCGATCGAAGACTTAATGACACACCCCAGTTGAAAAAAAACGTAGAGCAAGCCTACAATCGAGAGTGGTACTCACAGGATAAGTAGGAGGCCAACATGGGCGAAATACTGAGCAGAGTTTCAAGGATTTTCGGCATGAAAGCGGCAAAACCGTTGATGATGATCGATTCGAAAATACCAATCATTATGCATACGATGAACGTTGGATTTCGACAGATTTTCTGGAAAACTGCGATAAATGGCAGAAAATGGCAAGCAGCCAAAAGTAGTTTCTGGAAAACTGAATTTGAAACTTACCATGATCACAACTGGTAATTTCTTCGCGTCCTTCAGTTCCTTTTCGTTCAAGTTCGCGTTAACTACATGAACCTGAACTATTTTAACTAATAAGCAAGGCTTAAAAGGTTATCAGTACTCATAATTGAATAAGTGTAAGTTTAATGACTAACACCGATATATTTCTTTTCATAAACTTTTATTAATATGAATAATGAAAATTGTGCGCGAAATGCTTCTACAGACCGCTGAAAGACTTCGCTTAGCACTGGAATTTCATTACAGTCAAAAACAAAATGGAGTTTTAATAAGAACTGAAGAACTGATAACGGTTGACTCCCTTCAAGATATGCCGTGCATCCGGCTTAAAACTCAAAATCATAGAGTTATTGGTAAATTATTTGTACTATAACATGATTTGCAAGCTAGTCAGTATTAGCGACAGAGCTTGTATCTTCGGCGTAATTTTGCGCTAAGTTCATTTGAAGCGCGCAAGGTACTGATCGCGACGGAATTCATCAGCCGAGCAGGATTCGATCTTGAAAAATCAGTCAAACGATAATTGCCGTCGGGTCACACACCACTTTCAGAAAGGCTACTCAACCTTAGTCTAACCGGACTTTAAAGGGACGTTTTAACAGACTAAGCTATCCCGAAGAAGAGAGCGTGCAACGGTGCGCAAACGGAAGCACAATCGCGGGATGCCCTGACAAGCTGGGCCTGAGGTCCCATAGGCCTCGGCCCCGCCCATTACCATTTAAAGGCCGCCCAACAAAATCAGTGCTACTGCAGCTTGTGCTGCTACTGAAGTTGAGTTTTCTCAGCCTTATCGACGGTTTCATCCCATTTTTCCATTGCTGGTGTTCATATCTTCACTGTGACTTGCAAGCGAGTAGTCTATGATTTCGAACCCCCTCACCTAGCCTTCGAATTTAGGAAATTTGGGGATGCTGATGTGCCAACATTTTGCTTATTTTGAATCATTCTGTCTATTTTCAAATGCTTATTGATGAAGTCACTGAGCACCTGATTGACGTCTTTAGCTCGATGTCGTTTGGCTTCGGGAAGTTCTCGTGCGAACCCCAGTATTGGGAATGCTATCAATAGCGCGGCGATCGACGACGCCAGAAATCCAATCCACCATGCGCCAATCCAACGAGGGTCCGAACGAGCTATTGGTGGACTGTAACAAAAATTTGATGCGCGCGCGAATGAAATCAATATGTATATAATTAATAATGTTATTATCTGTAAATAAACAACAACAAATAAATTCCATGTTGGGAGAGGAAATGTGGAATTGACTATTGGATTCTTTGTTTATGATTTTTGGACCTTAATTCACCTTTTCAAGGAGAACAATTACCGAATGGAGACTGAGAAGAACAAAAAGGAATATGGAAGGAGTTTCCAACAGTGCATTTACAGAGTGCAGCTGTTTGTACACTTGAAAGGGAAGCATTCCCCTTAGAATAGAACATTATATATATGATGGGGGGGGGGGGGTACTTTATGAGCAGGAGCATTGTGGTTTTTAAGTGAGCCACTCAGTACTTGGGGCGTAGCATAGGGGAAGGGATTCTGGAGGGGGAATGTGAGCGAGTTTTGCTCTCTCTTGGCATTTCTCCTCTCTTCTGGGTCATCTTATCGTGGTTTTTAAAAGACCTGCTTTGGAATGCCCCCCCAAGCGTAATATCGATGTAGTGCTTGCTTATTCCTGAACTCGCGCATTTCTCATGGAAGCGCTTGCCTCTGAAGGCGATACAACCCCATATCTTACCGCACTTCAAGGTCAAATGGTTAAGGTAAGGAACGGGATTTTGTGTGCACTGATTATCAGGTGGCGGAACGCGTGGATTTCTCAAAGGGAAATGGCAGAGCGAGCCGTAAAAGAACATCAACACATGTGGAAACCATATGTAGTTCGCCATTTTCAAGAGATGGACATTAATGAGTGCACCTCTGTCTCGACTATAATGGTTTAGGTAAAGTGCATTAGCTTTTTTTTTCGCTTCCGCGGCAAATTTCCCTTAGGCGAAGTCCGGACCAAGCTTGACAACACATACGTGATAATTGAAAACTTCACTTGTCGAGAAATGTATTTGAACTTGAAAGAATGACCCGTGGGATAAAGAGAACACTTACTGATCGACTCTGTCAAAATCGTCGTAGATGTTTAGCAGAAATCCACCCACAAATACACCAATCACCGGTCCGAATGAAGTCAGCACGGCGTGAATTGCTGAAAATTCAATAAAATTGTTGATTTTGGTAACCGATGTACTCACCCCTACTATGACACTTATCAAAACTCATTCAAATCCCGCTTATGGGCCAAACAGAACTCTCCACGGCAGCAATTACCGCTCACGTTTTCCCCCCACACCAGAAGTAGACAGCTCTCACCCATTCTGTCTATTTATCTTTATATTTATTTGTAATTTTTTCTTTTCGTATAACTTCGTATAATGTATGCTATTTCGTGAACTATGTGAGCAGAGAGGCTTAGGAAATCAGGAACTCTGAGTGAGTGAACATTACTGGGCAGTTGACGGGAAGCCCGTCGCGCGGCGAGGAAGTAGAGACGCAGACAGGTCAGCGGACGAGTCGCAGCGCGTATTGTGCGGATTTGGATGTGTCATCCTATCCACCAAAATAACTAAATAACTACAGCACGCGCCGCAACTCATCTTCTGACCCGCCCGCTTCCCTGCTTTCTCGCCGCGCAACGGGCCTCCTGTCGGGTACCCGACACTATTTATGGTGAGCAAGAAATATCAAAAATCGGCGTGGCCACTCGACTCACATAGCACCATCCTTTTATCAATTTTAGCTATTTACCCTTACATCTAGAATTCGTCTATTCTATATTTCATTTTTACAATAACTTTGGTAGTTTCACATGTTATCGGTCAATATTGATTGGAAATATCGATTTCTGCGTAAAAGATGGGAACAGCACCGTAGTGCCGTCGGGCTTTTTTCTTCCAATAGTAACCACAATAAATCTGCTGTTAACTTACCTAGGTAAACTGGTGAGGCTTTCTGCGTGACGCTTTCGTCGATGAAGGTCGTACCGATGGAGAACAGCGGCGTTGAGCCAACACCATGCAGTGTCTGGCCGAGGATGAACAGAAGAAAATACGGGTTCAGAAAGGAAGGCAATGATGACTGGTCTTCACACGTAGTCTCTTCCAGTTCCCTAGAAAGTGGGATCCTCTAGCAGCACTGATTTTTCCTCATAATTTTTTTGTATATTTTTTTCCTTTTCCATTTTGTTTGTTTTCAGGTGATAGCACCGATACTGACCCTCTTCCCTGAGATCAATAAATACATTCGTGACAGCATGACGCGCATGCGCGTCACATTTTCTCAATCCTGGGCTCCTTTTGCTCGATTTATCTGGCTCTCTAGTGAGTTTCGCTGTACTATGCATCCATAAATACTATGTAATGGGCAGACAGCATTCTAGAAAATCTTTAATCCTCTCTTTCAAATCCTTTATTTTACAAAATACCTGAGTGTGCACTGCCCGAAATCGGTCACGTTAAACGCTGAATGCTCTGGTTTGTAGGGACTGATGAGCCAATGCGGAAGAGCGCAAATCAACGAGCCGAGCGCCATCACCACTCCGCCCCATCCTATCCACCGGCCTTTGTGTCCTGAAAATAATGCTTTTTTTACAACTTTTTTCTCTTTTTTCCTCAACAATAGAATTTGGAATCATGCATCTTCATGGGAAGATGAGCCACACATTCAACAAAAGTGCGTAAGTTTTTTTAGCATCTCGCACAGCTGGAATTTACACAACCTGGCACCGAAGTTCTTATCGAAACCCGAAGAAGGCTATTCTTTGGAAGACTGGAAGTTTGGCGTATCGGACTCGTTAGGAGGAAAAATAATCGAAGCCCCTCGGGGCGAAATACCAACTAAGAACCAATACGATCCCCAACGAATGTCACGTGCATGGCGCATTGACGAAGGTATGAACGCTTTACAGTAAAACTTCACCCTTCAACTTTTAGACAATCATGGGACGGCATTTGGAAAATAGTGAACGTTCGCTTACCGCTGTTTCCCCATTGACAAACAGGAAACACCACGAGCAGCACGGCGAAGTCGTACCAACTTGAGATTATACCGGTTTGGGTACTGTAATAAAAAGCAACTGTTATGTGGAACTAAACCTTTAAATGTGTTATCGTACCTGGTCATTTTAAACCGCCTTTCTAATGT